TTATACACATCTAGATGTGTATACTCTCTCTCTCCGGCGTCAATCATGATCATCAATTTAAATCGCATTGTCAAATTGTTTGGTTTATGGCGTGTGCTGATCAAATCGTTTTCAACTCCTTGTGGTTCGTTATGTATGAAATCCCCATGACGTTCATTTTCAATTTCTTTTCAATTCGTTTTGGTTTGATAGGTAGATAGGTAGTACAGATTGAGAGAGGGAGAGAGCTCCATTGTAGATTGAACTTTGCGTTGCTCTTCCCCACCATTCCATGTCATCCCCCCCCCCCCTCCCTCTATTCTCTTCTCCCCCCTTCTTCAAACTTCTTCCCTTTGATTCTTTTTGCTCCCCTGCCTCTCTCTCCATGCTATTCTGAGCTATCGTCCCACCCCATTCCGCACGCTATCCTCTGCCATTGCACGTCATCTTTCCCCCGATTCCATGCGCTCTTCCCTACCCTTGTTCGAACTTTCGGGCCTTTAATTCTCTCCCCTCTCCTGTAAATCTCCCTTTGCTATTCCATGCCATCTTCCCCCCATTCCGCATGCTCTCACCCCCCATTTCACGTCATCTTTCCCACCATTGGGCATGCTCTTCACCCTCCATTTTTGAACTTTCTCCTCCCCCCTCTTCAAACTTCGTCCCTTTGATTTTGTCCCCCCGCAATTCAGTGCCATCTCCATCTCCCCCCCCTCCCCCCCCCCCCTCTGCACACTTTTCCCTACCATTCTATGTCTCTTTCCCCCCTGGCAATTCAATGCACTCTCCCTCCCTGTTCAAACTCTTCCCCCTCCTATTTTGATTCTCTCCCCTCTACCCGGACTTCTTCACCCAACATCCGAACGTCTCTCCACGCACTTCTTCCCCTGCTTTCGAACCTCTCTCACCCCAATTCTCCTCCCAACTTCCAAATCTTAGCGCCGTAACTCCTACAGGTAGGCCTTATTAGGTCAGAACTGAGCTGGATAGCATTGTTCCATAGAAATACAGAGGTACAAACCTCGACCAGTTCACTACCTTAACCCCTTTTCTTGAGAGAGCACAGGACGAACAAGTTGCATTCACATCCATAAGGTATGTTTCACGTAAGTCAAATCACCAAAGCATAAACTCCCCCTGTGTGCCTTACCTGCTTCCACCTTTGACTCAATAGTAAATCCAGGGAAGACGGGCAACCCAATGTCTTGCTTTGTCTGGGCGCACACACACACACACACACACACACTTACACACACACACACACAGAGAAAGAGAGAGAGA